TAAGCTTTATTTGTTTGTTGAGGTGGTCGCAGGAGAGGAGAGGAAACGCGCGTTCTCGCCCATTGCCTATATACCCCTGTGATCAGCTGATTAAGTTAAGTGGCCAGTTTTGGTTTTCTTTATTTAATGTCTTTTGTGTAAAGTCTAGCACATAAATCCACGGCACCAGAGAAATCCACTTTTCAAACTGCGTAAATATTTGTAAAAATTGAAAAACTTTAACAGCCAAACAATAACAGCCAAAAATGTTAAACTTTTTATTCAGCATTTTTAGAAAAATTCTATGTATGCAGTTTTTCATCCCATTAAATTTAAGTAGGTAAAAGTGAAAATTTCAAGACGCTGGGAAGTCGCGTTGATTTTTAATATTTTGTTTTGCTAATTGGCGAGCATACTTTATATGGGAGAAAACGCTCAACGCCTTCAGCCAAACAAATTATTAAAAATCAATGCGATTTTCTAGCGCTTTAAAACTTGCGAATTTAACTACTAAAATTTAAAGGGCAATAAAACTGCATACATAAAAAACTTTTTATTAAAAGTTAAAAATTGTTGGGTGTAATAGTTAAAGTTTGTTTAATTTTGATAAATTTTGAAATGTAGATTTAAGTGGCGCTGGTTTTGCAATGTGCTAAACTTTTATAAAAGCAAGTAAGAGCAGCGCTGTCTTCGGCCATGCCGAAGGCTTCATACTTTTCATGAGCATCTGATAATTTTACTTTAACAGATTACTGCATTTGAATAAATTTATATATTCAAAGCAGGCATAGATAGAGGAGATACATATACAAAAAATCATATCATATCAGAGGTATGGAAGATATATCTTATATACGTAAACCGGTAACACAATTTAATGGGTTTAGCTTCCTACATAAAGGAGATACATATATCGCAAAAACTGGTATCAATCAGTGGTACAAGAGATTAAGATTATGCAGCATAGGTTTTGACGATTTTCTAGTAGACTTTGTATTATTATTTATAAAATAGCTTACGAAATTTATCGGTTATAGCTGTCCAAATAAAGGAGTTTTACAGTAAAACCCATATCTGAACAATCAGTTGTATGGGAACTATATGTTATAGTGGTCCGATTCTTCCGGTTCCGACAAATGATTAATACATTATAAAAATACACCCACCTACCAAACTTGATCCGGATATCTCGAAAACTGATAGACTAGATTGCATACAAACAGACGGACAGACAGACAGACGGACATGGCTAAATCGACTCAGGTCGCCGTTCTGATCATTTAAGTATATATTTTAATGGGGCTATCTCTTCTTATTCTGGTACTTACAAACATCGGACCAAAGTTATAATACCATTTCATGCTCATGAAAGGTATAAAAAATAAAAACATTAAATAGACAAATGAAAAACAGCTTAAACTGGTAAAAATATAACTTAGCTTAATCAACATTAGGATGGCCCAAAAAAGTAAGGTTGGAATTTTAATGCTCTCACCCCTAGGATTGTTCTACGCCGAAAATATATAACCCATTTTTTTTTTCTTAAATCAAAAATTATTTAGAGGTCGCTCAAAGCGCTCAAAGTTTTCCCTATATTTTATATGCGAAAAAACAACTTTTCGCAGAAGTGGTATGGAATTCTTGAAAATTAATATTTTTGGATATGAAAACTCTGGTCCTCTTGAGGAGAATTGCAATAATAATACCCAATAGTTTAATTAATCATGGATCGCAAACTCGGTCTTTCCGACTATGCCCAACAGCCCGCCCATAACGCGGAGGGGAAACTAGGCGTTTCCGCCCGCCTCACATCACGGAATCCAGCGTCAGGGTTTGCATATTAATGACGACGGGTACGTGGATCGGAAACTCGGCCTTTCCGACCGTGACTATCAACTCGTGAGCAACGCGGAGCGGAAACAAAGTCTTTCCGCACGCTGCACATAGTACATATGTAAAGACAGACTGGAGACTAGGCCTCGCCAGCTACCCAACTAGTTAGACAATATACATTTATATAGGTTATTTGATCGTTTAGAAACATAAACAGCTTTGTAATTGAAAATTTAAACTTACATATACGCATACTTTGTTATATATCAAAAATATCTATCTGTACTTTTAAGTCGCAAGTAACTGTAACAAATAAATAAATAAATAAATAAAACAACCGCGCTATTTTTAGTCTACTTGTAAAATATGTATAAGAGCGTAGAAAAAAATACAATTTTTTATTTAATATTCATTTTTTCGTTTTAAGGCTGAAACTATCAAAATATACAACGCACATTCATATTTCTTGCACATATTTAAATGAGCAAGGTTTCTCCAAAATAAGCTTAGCGCAAATTTATTGTGTAGTAATTTCCACAATATTGACTTGTACAAGTCTCGCGTTGCGCTATGATTTTGTGTGGTTTAGGGATTGTTTTTCGTTATGCAAATAAGCATACAGATTCTCTGTTTTCATTAAAGCAAACTAATATAATTTTTTTTTATAACTGAGGATTTAATTATAAAATTTTATTTATTATTTGTTTTTCAAATAAAAGTTTAACCAATAGCGGTTTTGTTTGCTTTTGACACTTTGTGACACTTTTTCTACTTGGTAGCTGATACTTTTTTCAAGCGCGTGGCAAGGCTTATAACTGAGCAAATATATTGACGACCTTCTTTTGGAAAAACTATTTAACCTAAAAATACGAATTTAAACAAACAAACATAAAATTCAAAACACCACAAAATCGTTATACTCCTAAATCTAGAGGAAGAATGATAGTAAAACTGCAAACGATGTGGCTGTATACATATTAGTCCTTTACATATATTTTAATAAACGCTTGGAAATTGTCAAGGATAGTCAAGGATAAAGTTTTATGATTCATCCTTATTCAACAAACATTTTAATTTCGTTCAATTCTAAAGATTTTTTCTTTCATTTGGTACCCATATGAATAATTATATCCTTGAAATTTCCAGGTCTCTAAAACAAACATACTGACTTAAGAGAGAAAAACTGAAAACGCAGTTTGATTAAATTTAGCCCTAGTTTTTCGACTATATTCCATAAAAATTTATTCTTCATTCGAAAAATTGGAATTAAAATTTAATTTTTTATTTGAAAACTTTGTGCGAAGGCAAATAAATTTTAAAATCTTTTTGAGAAAACGTCTTTGAAATTTATTACAAAAAAAATTATACATATGGACACTAGAGTGGTCCAAAAAAACTAAGTTGGAATTTTAATGCCGGCACCCCCTAGGATTGTTCTATATCGAAAAAAATATACCCCTACTTATTTTGAAATCAAAAAATATTTAGGGGGTGCTCAAAGCGCTCAAAGTTTTCCATGTATTTAAATTGAGAAAAAACCATTTTTCGTAGAAATGGTATAAAACTCTTAAAAATCAATGTTTTTCAATCGGAAAACTGTGGTTCTCTTCAGGACACTTCCAGTATTAATATCCAATTGTTTATTTAACCATTTTTTATGCTTAAAGATTTTTCCATTGCATTTTCTAGGGGTTTTGGAGGACCTATAAAATATAGTTACTATGAAAAAATGGTTAAAGAGACAATTGCGTATTATTACTGGGAATCTCCTGAAGATAAGAAAAGTTTTCCGATCGAAAACTGTTGATTTTCAAGAATTCTACACTATTTCTACGAAAAATTGTTTTTCCCCCATATAAAATACATGGAAAACTTTGAGAGCTTTGAGCACTCCCTATTTTTATTTTTTTTTTTTCAGAATAAAAAAATAGGGGTATATTTTTTTCGATATAGAACAATCCTAGGGGGTGCCGGCATTAAAAATCCGACCTTATTTTTTTTACATACATTTTTGGACCACTTTTATGTACACTTCCGGAACAAAGTATTGGCACAGCAAATTTTTCACAATATATGCAACAATTTTCATTCTAATATTTTTCCGCTAATTTTATATAAAAATATAGTTCATTCTACAACAAAAAACATGAAAATATAATTCCTAAACCTTGTGCAAAACTAGCGAAAATTCAGCAAATTTTCATGAAAAATTTCAACTTTTTAATCAGATTTTTTGGAGTATGCAGATTTGTAGCCCAAGTTTATGATAATAAAGCGCAAGTTTTAAGTAGACAGGAATTACCGTTGATTTTTGGCATTTTTTTCATGCAGTCTCTTCCATACAAAATTTTTTTTTCGAAAATACTTCATATGGAAAAAATGCAAAACACCTTCAACAAAAAAAAAATCTCAAAACTCAACGCGATTTTTGACTAACTCCGAACCTGCGTACTCAAAAAAATTCTAAATAATCTGATTAAAAAGTTGAAAATTTTAATGAAAATTTGATGAATTTTCGCAAGATTTGCACAAAGTTTAGGTATTTTATTTTTATGTTTTTTGTTGTTGAATGAACCATATTTTTATACAAAATTGGCGGAAAAATATTAGAATAAAAATTGTTGCATATATTGTCCAAAAATTTGCTGTGCCAATACTTTGTTCCGGCAGTGTACATACATATGCAAATAGATTTGCAAAAAGAATTCAACCTTGGTTGGTACTGAAGGACGTGGGGCTTATTCGACGTTTTGTTGTTCACCCATTTTTTGAATTAATAAATGTAATGCTGAAAATATCGCGTCGCATAAATAGGTGGTACAAAACCGAAGACGTAGGTCGTACACGATTTAAGAGTGCTGAAAATTTGGTCCCGAATCAAAAATTATTTATAACTAGAAATTTAAAGCTATGCCCGGCATGCGGAGAAACGTCCTACGAATCGGGACATCTCTTCACATGCAATGTACATCCCTCTCAACTAACACCTCAGTCCCTATAGACAAACCCCATCAAAGCTGCACGCTTCATGGGCCTTCTGTTGGTTGAGCTTGACGCCAACGATTGAGTAGCCGATCTAGACGGGGTTGTGTTAGCCGCTACAAAAATCATCAACCTACACTTTCAAAAACCTTGGTTTAGACTGCAAATAAATAATAAAAAAAACTCCAAATATCAATATTACTCACTTTGCATGCCCAAAAGCATTTTCATCCACACCGCCACCACTGCCAACTTGACAGCTGAAGCTTTTCTCATACTGGTGATGCGCGTTATGGCTGCTAAGATTCGATGACGGTGAATACGGTGCCTGTGCGGGTGGCATTTGTTGACGCTGCAGCTGCTGTTGCATCAACTGTTGCTGCTGTTGGTGATATTGTGGCGATAATAAACGCTGATCTACATGATGATACTGCGGTTGCATGCAAGCGGTGGTCGCTGCGTTCGGGCCTTGTACTAAATTTGCACTAGTCACTGTACCACCAGTATCTGGGATCTGATTTGGTGTATCAATGCCATCATTCGACACGACATTTGAACGTTCATAAACCCCTCCGCAGCCATTTTCATTCTTGCCCATCATTATAGCCATGGGTGGCACAGTAGTTAATATACTCGGATCTACTTCAGCACTTTCGCTACCGCCTAAAAGTCCAAATCCTATAATGCCTGCAGTAGCATCATTTGACGTGGTTAATGACCAGCGATGGTGGCCAGCATCGACATCGCTGGTGCTATTGGTACAGGTGCTATTGCTACCACTCGAGGTGGGCAATGTTAGTGCGTTCGTGTTGTTTAACGTCGTAGCAGCAACCGCCTGTTGCAGGTGTTGCATGCGATTATTATTTCTTTGTTTCGCCAACATACGGCAAGAATGTTTATGTGTCGGCCAGTCCATGTGCTGATGCGCCGTGGAGCAGTAGAAGATCGTCTTACATTTGGCACAACGCAATAACTGCTGTGTTGTACCGCAAATGGCACACTGTGGAAATTTCTCCATTTTCTTTACTCACAAGAGTGTTCTCTTCAAATTCACTTTATAATATTGCAATTTCAAGGCTAACTATCTAGCCTTTTTGTAGTTTACCTGTTTATGGGGACAATTTTGTTTATTTGTAAGGGTCCTGTCTCGCGATCAATATTTACTGGCGTGATCCAAGTACCACGATATTTATTGATGTTCTAGCATCCAATATTGATGGATCGTTATACGAATAATAAAATATTAAGAACGTATTACATTTTTTTGAAATATTTAATGAAAGTGCAGCATTTTTAAAACACGATCCATACATTTCGTCAGTACATTTTGTACTCTCATAATTGTGAATATCTAAAACATACCTATGCGTTTTGCCTTCGCTCTCGGCGCTAAAAACTTTACAAAACAAATTGAAACGGCTTAAATTAACATTGGAAATTTTAAACACTATTTAATGCATTATCTATACAGTTATTCGACCAAAATAAAAATTTTTTCTTACGATATTAAGTGTGCAGCACAGAAATTATACAAATACTGACGCGATAAATATTAAACATGTAGCATTCGTGCGCGATCCATCAATATACATATAGATTTTCATCCAGATATCGTTATAAATACTGACCTTGTGACAGGGCCCTAACGATGACCTCCCACGGGCAAACGCTTTTAATTTAACCTTGAAAGGGACCTTCCTTTCGGTTTTGGATACGCATTTAGCTCATGCTTTGTATTTTTTCCTGACTGTTTTGAGCTTTTTCTTCTTTATCTTGCGAAAATATCGCAGCTGTTTTCACCACTGTCTTGGTATTTGTATTAATTATAATACTACGCTTTTAAATGTATTTTTGTTGTCTGCTTTTGCGAAATATGTAATTGCAGCCATTTGGATAACTGCTCTTCGACTAACGTGAAACGGACGGAAAGGGGAAGAATTCGCACCTTTTACTCTTAACCCACAAGTCTAGAGTCGTTGAACGAACACTTTTCTTTCCACGTATCGCTCCCAGCCTCGTGCCTATCGCTGATAATGCTTCTGGTGCTGATACGATTAGTATAATACCCTCGTCTCCTCATACATGTGTATAATCATAGACTAAATCATGTAGGCGCAGACAGCAATCATATGGCTTAAAAACTTTTCTTTGTTGGCTGCGAGACTTGTGGCTCGTTTAGTCTGCCTTGATTTGCGTTCCCATAGTCTGTTTACAGATAGTTTTGTAAAGCAAGGAAATGTTTAGCTTTTCTACCCATAAGTGCATACTAACAAATGATACGATGGTATTATTCGTAGGCTGTTAGTTTTTTTCACAACTACGCTATCATCAGCACCACACTTTGCTATAATTGCTGGCGTTCTATTTTAGGCGTCCTTAATGCGATTTTCGCAATTTCTAGGAAGTTCCTAAGGCAATTTAATCACCTCTAATTAACTCGAACATTCTCTGCTACACTTTTATTAATAAAATATCACAAATATTCTGTAAATTCTCCATTTAATCACAATTTTTAGGCGAAAATGTGCAATTAACAGCTGTAAATTCACTTTCCCAAAATTTTTGTATAAATTTTACAAGCTGAGTAGCGAATATAATAGAATGAAAAACGTTCAATAAATAAATTAGGATGTCAGTTCAAACAGAATGTCAAACTAGCTGGAATTTTGAATTTTTCTGGAAAGCACTAACGGAACTCATTGGAATGCACTACCGGAAGTAAAAGGAATCATTAAAATTCATCCGTCTAGCGTTGCCACAGATCTATCTAATATACAATTTTTTTAGTCTGATCAAAGAACGTAAATACATACATACGTACATTTACGTTCTTTGGCGCCGCGTTGCCGCAGAATTCACCACAGTACGTTCTTTGCATTTATTTACTAACGAAAACATCAAAGACTAAAAAAATTGTATATTAGATAGATCTGTGGCAACATTTACGTTCTTTGGTAAATAAGTGCAAAGAACGTACTGTCATGAACCAAAAATACAAGATCACGTAAGAACGCGTCGTTGTATTTGTAACTGGTTTTGAAAAAAAAGTTTGCGAAAGCGGGTTCGTCAGCTGGGCGTTTGTTTACATCACAAGCACCACTATTTTAGACTTTTATTCAAGTAAAGAAGAGTTAATTCAACATGACAACACATTTTAAAGCATTTTGTTGCATCATTTTGCCTAAATTGTGCGTTTAAAGTGGCTGACAATAATTTTGGCTAATTATGGTTTTCGTTGTTTTCTTTGCTTTGTTTACTTTTCGCTCGTTTTCCAGTGAAACAAGATGGCGTAGAACCCGCTAAAAAAATCGACTTTTTTCACTCTCTTGTTCTTACGTGATCTTGTGTCTTTCGTTCATGACGTACTGGGGTGAATTCTGCGGCAACGCGGCGCGAACACTGGCATTCTGCGGAAAGCAATCTGGAAAACAATACTGAATAGCTAAATTTCTAAAATTGTCGTTTATCTGGCTTAACAATAGGTTTGTATAGTAACTTCTCCAGTAAATAATTGCAGCGAGAGCGTAAAAGCAAAATAGAGCGTAAAATTGAGAAGAAGAGAAAACTAGCAGAAAAAGTTATTGAACACAAAACTAGCAAAAACTTGCAAGTGAATAGTTGCTGCACTGTTTTGACATTCTGCTGTGAATATTTTACTATTTATAAATCAGTTTCAAACACTTTACTTTACACACAAGCACTATAACAGTCCAGTACAACATTAATTTTTTGATTTCCATTCATTTTACTTTTTTTTTTTTTTTTTTTTTTTGTGACTTTGGAATCCTTCCCTTCCGAAGGTGATGATGGCAGGGCTTGATTGCTACCCTTACAGTGCCAGATTATTCACGGGTGTGTTGTATTTTACAGAAATCGATGTGATTTATATTGGTTGAGTTTGGAATTTCGTTGTCCTTAGCAGCTGTGGTAGGGTGGAGGTAGTCGTTGACAAGGAGAAATGTATAATTTTATGAGCATTCTTAATCGATAACGATAGATTAGACAAAATGATATGAGATGTATTATACTAGGTTCACATATAAGTAGATTATCCTCATTTTCGAGCTTAACACCCCAATCTGTAATTATAACAAGAGATTAGCCATATAAAATTCGTCCCTTGTTAATCTGTAATTATAAAATAATCTCAGATTTAACCGATAACTTTTCGGTGTCCATCCTAGTTTTATCGATTGTTTTTGCGAAAGAGAAGAGAAACGCCAAATGCAAAAGTAAACAAAAATGTACGCTAGCAAGTAAAAGAGGTTTGTAAAGGCATTTTTAATAAAATGTTAAGTTAAAATATATTTATATTGCTTATTATAGCAGAAAAACGTGATCACGGTGGCACAGAGAAGAAACATAACTTTTCCTTGAGATGTGAGAATAACAAGCACAACAAATTTGACGGCTAATAATCTGAGATTTGCCTGTGTAAACGGGGTGATTAAAAAACGAGCTTTGATTGAGATAATATTGATATGTGAACATAGTTTTAGTGTACATTTGAGTGAATGTTTATGATTGTTGTACATTTTAATGTTGTTCATTGATTGACATGTATATATATGAGAGTAAATGATATTTACATTGATTACATAAAATTGTATTCTTTAATTTTATTTATTTTTTTTTTTTTATTTTTTTTTTTGGCACAGCCTATTTTAAGTCATGACTAGTACATTGTTATGTTTTATATGGGTACTTCTTACAAATAGATCACATTGTTATGAATGCTAATTTTTAGTTTTCTGAAAACATCTAGTATGATTATTATTACATGGATGGGTGCTTTTGGCTACATATATATATGTATCTAAGCGATTTTTACAATGGTTAGACGCATTGTAATTTTAGTTCAGTCTTAGGATTGCAAATTTTTACTATACTTTTCAATTCCTTTTTTTTTTTTTTCCTATTTTTATTAATTAAGAATTAATATTGTTTGAACGTCTCTGAACCCTCTACCTCATATTCTTTTTTTTTTTTGACTTTTAAAGCGCTTTGTCAAGTTTGGCTTTGTAAATAAACGAAATAAGTTCTTGAAAATGTTGTGGATTTTTTGTCGTAAGGACTTCGTCTATGTTATTAAATTTTTTAAAAATGTGAAAATCGTCTCTCAGTTGCCTGTATTTGGAGCATTCAAAGATTGCGTGATTTGGTGTCTCTATGATGTTACAACTATTACACATGTTTGAAATGTGGCTATGCATCAGGTGTAAAAAGGATTTATTGTACGTGTATCCAGTCATTAGTCTGTTGATGAGTTTGATATCGTAGGGTCTGAGTCCATATTTATCGGTCTTAAACCACGGTTTCCGTGCAGTAGCCGTAATGCTGTCGATTAGATCTCGGTCCCAGTTGATGCAGTTGTTTTTTAACCTCTTGTATAGTTTCCTTCCATAACGTACACCCTATTTTCCTAATGGCTTCCTGGGGTGTTAAATCAACAGTAAGACCTTTGCCATGTACTAGTGCTGTTTTGGCCGCTATATCTGCCTTTTCATTGACATTTATACCTACATGACTTGGTACCCAGTTAATGATTAGTTTATCTATTTCAGAGTTACTAACCTGGTTATGGATTTCGGCTATTAGAAAGTTTTGGGACTGCTTGTGAGTAATCATTTTGACTGCTGCCAAACTATCTGAGAAAATTAAAATTTTTTTCCATGTATTTTTTTTGGCCAGTTCTATTGCTTGAAGAATAGCTACAATTTCTCCACTAGTGGAGGTGAGATTGTCGTTGATGTTGTATAGGTAGGAAACATTATTGTTAAAGTCATAAACTGCACAGCCGATCTTACCTTCACCAACAGATGCATCAGTGGATATCACTCTAAAACCGTCTTTTTGTGCTAAAGCCTTTTTTTCCGCATATATAGCCTGCAGCTGTATGTGAGAGTAGTTGTTTTTTGACATATTTAACTCTGAACCCCTAGTTTCTATTTTGAGGCTGTTTTTGTACTTCACATTGGTGTTGATTTTATTAAAGATTCCCCTAAATTTGGTGTAGGTATGACTGTAGCTAGAGTTTACCTTTTGACCATTAAGCAGTTCCGCTCTTAATCTAGGATTTAGAAACCATTGTTTGGTGAGTTCTTTTGCTGTTAGCCATTCTGCTCTTTTCAATGGAGTGAGTTCACACGCAATCGCATATCTGGCCAGTGTAGGAGTATTTGGAGGCAGTCCAAGGCAGCGCCTTAGAGGTTCATTCGCTATTGTTTGCAGTTGTTTGTTATATCCCTTCGATGCATTGGCGTAACTGGTATTCGCGTATTCAATTTTTGATCTTACAAATACTTTAAAGAGATTCAAGGCTATATTCGGTACTAACCCTGCTTTTATCGTCGTTAATTTGGCAAGTAGATTTTTGCCTGGAGTTGTGTCTTTTTTGATCTTGCCTATATGTTCTTTAATCGTGGAATTTGCATCTATTGTCCTACCTAACCATTTGAGATTGTGTACTTGTTCTATTTTGTGGCCTCCTACCTCTATGCAATATCTGTTTCTTTTTCCTGCCGTCATGAGCATAAATTTCGTCTTACTGAGGTTTAGTGTTAGGTGTAGGGAGTTTAAAATCGCCTGAATTTCCTCAATTTTGGAAGCTAGTTTTATAATGGCTGTTTTTTCATCTTTATTGTGCACCACAATCGCCAGGTCATCTGCAAACTGGAAAAGCTGAGTTTTCTCTTCGTTGATGTTGTGAAGTTTAGCAGTATATATATTGAATAGAGTTGGTGAAAGGCAACTTCCTTGCGGCAGTCCGTTGTTTACTTCTATTGTATGTTTTCCCAAACTAAGTTGCCGTGATGCGAAAAAGTTATGAATCCAATCTGCAATTTTTGTGTTAACGTTGTGGTCTACCAATGTTTGATGCAGAGTTGTGAGATCAACGCAGTTGTATGCATCCGCTATATCCAGGAGGCAAACGACCACTTTTTCCTTGTTGTGTTTGCTGGTGGCCACTAGATGTAACATCTCATTCAGACACATTGTTGTAGATCGGGTTTTTCGGTAAGCAAAGCTTTTTGGAGGGATGATGTTTTTTTGTTCGACTTCTTCTGCTAAGGCGTCCTTGATGAGCAAGTTGAGGCTTTTTGCAACCACAGATATCAGTGATATGGGCCGAAAATTGCGAAAATCTTCTAGGTCACTGTTCCCTTTTGGTATTGGTACTATTTTTATTTTTCTCCAAGTGTTTGGAACTTCGTTTTTGTTAAATTGGTTTTCTAGGGCTTTCAGGAATTCTTGTAGAGTTTCTACTGATAAGTTTTTCAATATTTGGAACGTGATGTTGTCGTGTCCTCCTGCTGTCGACTTTTTCTTGTTTAATTTAGGCAAAAAGTTTTCTACAGTGAAATTTAAATTTGTCACGTTCGTCGATTCTTGACTGTCTGTGCCTGCTGTGTGTCTAGTTCGTGTGGTGGAGCCTGTTCTTACCTGGTTTTTTAATGTGTTCCAAATATTTTAAGTTGTCCTCAGAGGCCCATTCTTGGTTTGTATATTTTCTTCCTTTGACGTTGTTTATGAAGTTCCAGGCAGCTTTGGTGTTCGGTTCGCAATTTAGTTCTTCCACTCTTCTCTTGTAGCTGCTGCTCTTTGCCTCTTTTACTGCCTTTTTTCCATTCTGCAGTCG